TAAACCCTAAACCCTAAAACAACTACCCACAGGCTTGGGCTTCTTTGTTCTCTTAGGGTAGTATTAGGGAGACCTGGGGTTACGATGCTTAGGACTCTAAAGATCCCAGGTGAGGGTTTAGGGTTTAGGGTTTAGGGTTTAGGGTTTAGGGTTTAGGGTTTAGGGTTTAGGGTTTAGGGTTTAGGGTTCAGTGTAGTATGAGGGAGACCCCTCAAGGGGGACCCTTCTTCACCCCTACTTCTGGCTCTCTTACAAGGGACCTTATTGAGAGGGTCTATATGCCCAAGGGTACCCCTAATCCTAACTCCCATGTTCCAAGGACAGTCTGTTCCTGCAGAATGCAGTGGTGACCCTAAACCCTAAACCCTGAATCCTAAACCCTAAACCCTGAACCCAGTTCCAAGGACAGTCGGTTCCTGCAGAATGCAGTGGTGACCCTAAACCCTAAACCCTGAATCCTAAATCCTAAACCCTAAACCTTAAACCCAGTTCCAAGGACAGTCTGTTCCTGCAGAATGCAGTGGTGACCAGCGACCCCTGGGGCGTCGCAGACCTAAGCTTCCACCGACACTGGACCAATGATTCCAGGGCACCCCCTCCAGTAGCATAGGGGTTTAGGGTTTAGGGTTTAGGGTCCGAATTATGGGAGTTGACGGCTTCAAGCCTCTACACGACTTGCATATAGGTAAGTTTGGGACTGGGCGCGTAGTCTGGTTTTAATAGTAGCAGGCAGCCTGCCTAGGTCTTGGGATATGACAAGGAGCATGAATCAACGGATCTAATTTTTGGAATCCCGTATATAGCCGTATGAATGCGTGTGCCACCCTCCACCGTCTACCCCTACGCCCCCATATTGACGACATGCAGGTGCCTTATGTACTAAATGTACTACAGAGGTCTGAACGGTCAGTAAGAATGTCACGTCGCAATCTTTAATATACCCTAAACCCTAAACCCTAAACCCTAAACCCTAAACCCTAAACCCTAAACCCACAACCCTTAGGTACCCTGTAGAAGACCAGGGTTTCAGGACCACTCTCTGGTGCGATGGAACCCACTAAACCCCTTAAACCCCCCTTAAACCCCTCCCAAACCCCCTTCAAACCCTCAAACCCTAAACCTTCGGAGAGTTTCGACTTTTTTGGCCATCCAGACTCTTCTGTGGCACCGAGCCCTCAACTCTGCAGGTAAACCCCACCACCGTAGATCCTGAACACTAGGGTTTAGGGTTTCGGGTTTAAGGTTTAGGGTAAAAACATCCCCAAGGCTCTCACCCCAACTTCAATAAGATGTTGTGCTGTCTGACATCTTGGAAGATAGCACCCGATTAATGCCAATCGCCCTTATTATGAGCCCTAGATACACAGAAAGCTTCCCACAAACACCCCAAGACCCTGAGCCTGAAAGCCCGAAACCCCAAACCTCCTAAACCCACCAACCCTAAACCCTAAACCCACCAAGCCCCCGTGAACGTTGCTCCCCAGGAGAGGCCGATTGCTCGGACACGGCCATTGGCTTCGTACAGGCGGGCATCTCAGGCGGGCGGGGTCTAAAGCACCAAATCTAAGACCCGGCCCTGGGGACCAGGGTTCAGGGTTTAGGGTTTAGGCTTTAGGGTTTAGGGTTTAGGCTTTAGGGTTTAGGGGTTAGGCTTTAGGGTTTAGGG